ATTTTTTTCCGAAATTAAATGGTTTTTTCCGGCAACACGGCCGTTATAACCTGCTCGATGCAAGCAGTTTCTAATCGTTTGATGACGAACATTTTTTGAGAACTCTTAACTGATTTGCTTTGCAAGTTTTGGAGCGCTTGTTTTAGAAGTAATTCTAATTTTTTTCATAACAGAAGACTCTTCTCGGCCAGTTAACTCCCTGGGACGACCAGAGCGTGACCACACTTTACAAGATCTGGTGGATTTGTATTGATTTATTACATACTGTACAGTTGAATGTGATTTTTTAATTATTTTACCAATATCTCTAAAGGATTTTTTCTCTTTCCATAAATCTACTATGATTTTTGGAAGAGCAATTGGAATTTCGAAATTTTTAGCGCTCATTTTGCTTTTACTTCAAAACTACTGACTTAAAAGTGGCGTCAAAAATAAACAAGTATAACTCAGTTGTTTAAGCGAAATTTGATACAAGCTGATTTGATAAAATATTGATAATTAACGGTTCTACGTGCATAGTGATTTATTAAAGTGTATGGAGACTTATTTGATATAGTTTCTTGCTTCTAAAACTGCTTCATTTTTTATCGTTCAAATAAAGTGTCTTAAAAGATTTTCATTTTATTTTTATTACTCTTAATGAAATATTGATATAGATTTCTCATTAAATGTAAGTGAAAGAGGAAACTAAAAGAAAACTGAAAAAATGCTGTGTGTACGGAGCCTTTTTTGACCGACTGTAATTCAAAAGTTCCAAAAAAATTTTCTGTAAGTTTGTTATGAACAAAGAGCAATATATTGTTGAATTTGAAACTCCCTGCTAATGGAGATTTGAAAAAAAAAACGCTCAATAGACCTTAAACATTAAGGCCTTTATAGGCATCGAAGAATGTGGTATGAGTCACCTGCAACACGTTCAGAGTTGTTCGTCAGAGATACTTTTATCGCATTAACAAAACGCTTCACTTCCGAGAAAACAAGCGACACAACAGATATTTAAAATTCGCCGTCATTGTTTAAATCAAATCCGATTTGTTTCCAGATCAAAAATTTTATTGCACCAAATAATTTTAACGTAGGTATTTATTTAGATTTTGCCCTACTACAGACATATTTTATTAATAAAAAACTTTAATAATTTATTTAGATCTAGAATTCTTTTAATTAAAAAAAAATGAAGTTTGAAAATAAAAGATCTTATATATGACTTCAAAAGTTAACAAAAGCGGTACATACATTTGAATCACAAAATATTTTGGATTTGTATTGCCATTTTTGTTAAGTCTATAGCATGTAGATTACATCGCAGAAAACAAACATTGGAAATACTATATTGATTATGCTTTATTTTTTGAAAATATTTACTAATGCGTGAATGCACTACTGGTTTTATCTGTGAAAGAAAACTTTGTTATTGCAAGTCTTGACAATTCAGCGGATGTAGAATCCAACAATTAGCGTGTTCTTTAGTATTAGTTTGTGCCTTTTGCAGTGAACGTTACAGTTCGTAAAATATGGCATTTCCGACGTATTTGACTCAAATGGAATTCGAAGCGGCTACGGAGGAGATAGTGATGGATGAGGACAATAACAAAGAAAGTCGTACGTAAGATTTGGATTTACGTATTCTTATGTATTGCAGCATTCCGTTCCTTGTAAATTTATGCTAAAAATAACATGAAAAAGATTTACAGAACATATCGGTGCGGTCTATATTCCACCCGACGTGGACACCTTGACTGACGAAGAAGATATGAACGCTAACATAAATCTACAAGAGTTTGGGGAACCAACTCATATAGTTGGAACTTTCGGGTTACATACACCGAATGATACAGTTGTCCTTCAACAGTCCTGTAATTCATCAACTACTGAACCTGAATGGGCTCATCAGATGATGAAACCCTGGAATTCAAAAGAAGACGTATGCTTTCTGCCATCAAAAGGCTTGCTTCTACTGTCAAATGGAAGAAAGGTCAGGTTGAGTACACTCAATCTGACCTCGATGAATTTAGATCATGTGAGGCTTTCTGGAAAACTCCGCTTGAAACATTTTTTATGTTTTTTGATGACGAAGTGATTGATTTGATTTTAAACCTTACATTGCTTTGCGACTTTTAAAAACTGATAAAACAATTACTCAAAGAAATCTTGCATCTGCCATAGATGAAATGCGTTATAATATTCAAGGTCACCTCATGAGGCGATGTAGAATCTGCCACAGCCACACAATTTACGTTTGTAATATCACCAAAAATGAAACCGGGTGTTACAAGTGGTGCGCTCACGCACCAGAAAATATTATGCGATTTTTTGTATCAAATCAGGTTCTACTTGGAAAACAATCCACTTTTAGTTATTTTCTGTCGAATTTGAACTTTCTTTTGTATTTTTATGTATAAATTATATGTTACATCTTATATGCCCCAAAACATTATTCATTGTTTTTTCCCAGTGGTTCGTTTTGTATGTTTCGAGTTTTTATTATTTTATTTTTTTTATTTATTTTTTTGACACATATAATGTATTCTTAAGTGCAACAAAATAAATAATTTCAGAGCTAAAAAGCATTTTTTTATTTTCTTTTATGCGTGGGATAACATGGGTTAACCGAAAAAATATTGCAAATTTAATTTCTGCGGGAGGACTTTTCTCCATGCCTCTACAGTTGTCAATGTTTCTAATTTCTACTTTTGGTGTTATCTTATACTAAATAGTGCTGGTTGTTAATAATAACTTACAATAATTGAGACGCAAATGGGCACAAGCTTCCGTCTTTGCCCCAAGAAACTGTGTGGCACTGCCATTTCATACCGCACGGTTGTACCACCCGTTAAGATAAAAATTCGGCGTGCTTCTAAATCCACCTGAAGCACGAACTGTAGAGCGAGCAATGCAACTCTACGTAAAGTTGCGTAATAAATAACACTCGCGATTTCTTTTCAGTAGCGGTAAAGCGTTTAAAATACAAATTTCACGCTCCTTTTAAAGCGAACAACAAAAAGACACATACGAATGGCTTACCAATCCAATCGCATGTTACAAAGCAAACAAATTAACGAAAAAAAAATTAAATTTACCAAAAAGCTACGTTATAATAAAAATGTCGGGGTAACATGAAACCAATGAGGCGCGGTACGAAACGGTTTCGGATGAAAATTGAAAAATTCAAGCATTGAAATATAAAATACTTTTCCACGCACCTCAGTGACTTTTCCCGAAAATAATTGTTAATGTAATGTACGGTCCATTTAAAATAACTATCCGTAACGAGTTTTAACAATCACCGTTAGTAATTAGGCCTGAATGTGAAATGGCTACCCACCAACAAATAACATCATGATGTAAAGGCGATATGAGCATAAACTTCAGATTTTTGACATTTCGAATGGTTGTATCCTGTTTAATGAGTGAAATAAACTATTAGACCATTTTTATATAAAGGAGTCCACACACTGGCGTGTATGTGTGTCATACACACTGTATATCAAATATACAGTTTTATTCTGAACGATGTGTGATGAAGACGAGTTTCTATATTTATCTGTGGCGTCTGCGTCCAATATCAAAATAAAATAATTAAACTCATGCCAAATGGGAATGGCAAACTTATGTATGTTAAAATATGAACATTTTGATTCCTCAATTTTGTCATTTCCCTTCGGAAATTTCCACGAATCACACTTATTTTAGATTTTATTGCAATTTTTGTTGATTTTGTTTCACCTTCTTGTGGTTAGTTTTGGTATCGTAGGTTTTGGTTTCATAACGTTTCATACGTTGCATCTTTTTGGTTTTATGCATTTAATTTTCCACAAACAGGTTCAATAAAGTCTTTGGTAAGTTATATTGAATAACTTCTTACATCAAACATTTTGATAGATGATGAAGTTTTGACTACACGTCACACATGTTGTCTTAATTAAATCAGTTCCCATATTAACTTTGCATCAACTTTGACGGTTCTTTTTTTAAAGATAAACACTTTTAAGTATTCAGTCAAGTCCATATGCTGGTATATGAATATAAATATTATATGGACTACTTAGTTTGATTCATATTTCTTGAAATTAGGGTGTACTAAAAAAATTGATTGATTCTTCTGAAAATTACCAAATTTTTAGAAAACTGAAAAGGGAACAATTATTGTATATTACTAAAATTAACCTAATATGTTAATATTTAACGCATGACGGGTAAAATCAAATGTTTAAAAACTATCGTAAATTAAATTGTCGATTAGTTTTGATGCACAAATCATCAAGAGGATCAAAATTTGACAAAGTGATGACTAGGGTTGTGGAATTGACAGATCAAATTTTTTTGTGTCAATTGACCGAAATAATTTTAAAAATGCAATGAAATTTATATTCAAGTAGCCATCGCGTCGTTCTGGGAACTAAATGGAGTGAATCTTTTTATTGGGATTCCTCGAATTGCTAAGTATCGTACTCGAGAATTGCTTATGAGTAAATTGGACATCACAAATCACAATAATTTATTATAAAACACATATTATTATTACATAATGATAGATAACACTCTAAAATTTGACTAGTCAATTAAGAAGTGGCCAATTGACAAGACCCAACACTAGTGAAGACGCTAGAGATGTGGCAAATAGAAAATTTTATTTCATTATTAAGAATCTTGGAAAAATTATGAATTAGTAAGACCTAATTTGCTTGCTTCGAGTTTTTGATACGTTTTGCTCGATGTTTGGCTTGAGTAGAAGCATGACAATAGCTCTAGAATACTCCTATATAAGAAAAAAAAAAGGATAACCATTTAAATTTCGACTTGGTGCAAAATTTGTTGTGGAAATCTAATATTACTCCCAGATATTTCTGCTTTATATCGCATTATTATATTTCCTCGTAATTCCCCACATTTGCTTCGTATTTCCTCATAGGAAGGTAAGTAATGTTATAGAGAGACCCCACATGACAAGGTCGGTAGCCATGACCATTCGGTCATTTCGAATAAATAAAAGAGTTTACCGTTTGAACGCAGGCGTGGCTAGGAGAGATGAAGTCTAGACCGCGTTGCCCTTTGCCGCTGAAGCAGTGCTTGATGTTCTGCATGAACTTCCTCCTGATGGATTTCAACGAATAGACGCACAGTGCTGACAAGTCAGACGGTTTGTTCGCGGTCACAGGATCACTCTCACTGAACACCGCGAATAAAACGTCATCCTGTGCCGTTATGCCCAAATCCGACGCCAAATCTGAACCGGCTTTGCCGACGTAAGCTGACTGAGCTAAATTGTATTTTCTCCCTTCGCTGATACAATCGATTGGTATTTCGGTGTACGAGTAATAATTCTCGTCGACGTGACACACTCGCACCAGTTTACTGATATAATGACTAGACGACGTGTGTTTCATTTGAGTAGTTAAGAAGTAACTAAAGCCTTCCGATGCGAAACCGTATACGTACGTTATAGGATAACGTTCTCTAGCTAAAGAATTGACGAACATCCTAGTTCCTGTGGTAACAGCCGTTTGGGCGATGGCGAACATTTTGTCTTTGTCTAAAGAACGCGAACTCACTGCCGGTACTTCTGAGCGATAAGGAGAACCCAGCGTGAACGTCACACCGACGTACATTACTTGGGAAACTGGTGGATTCGGTGGACCCGGTGCTATAAAAGCCACCGTCGATGCGGTGGCGTTATTTGCGACCACCGCTTCTCTTACCTCCAAGGTACCGTCTGAGATGTTGTGCAGATTTCGTACAGTGCAAATGCCTTGGAATAAACTTCCACACGCAATCAATCTCGTTGTAGTGTAATCGATTACCAACGCCTTATTAACGTTATCCGTAAGTTTCTTATTTAACATGTTATTGCACTCCAGTACCGAACAATCTTCGGAATCCATCCTGGGTCCGGTTTCTTCGGACACCACGAGCTCCAAATCGGGCGACAACTGATATAATCGGTTTACGGCTCCGATGTAAACTCTACCAGTGTTTTTGTCGACCACCAAATGGTTGAAGGCTTGTACTTTTGAGTCGGCAAAGGTTCGAATTATGGGTGTCGGTGGACCGGCAACAACCATCGTCGCGAAGGCTGCCACCAAGAATGGTAAAAATAGCCTTGACCGCTTCATAGCGGGGCCAATTCTGGGGTTTCAGTCTCACGTCATTTGGCCACTGTAACAAAAGAAATTATATGATATTATTAAAGCAAAAAATATCTATAAACAGAATAGAATAGTATTTATTAACCCTTATACGAGCAAAGTTTTTACAATAGAACAATAGGTGGAAATAAGAACCAATTTCTATTATCTATGATGATTCTAGATAGTCTTTTGCCAAAACTAATCACTATAACTATCCAACTTACATTATCTATGACGATTAGGAACACTCTTTTGCCGAGACTAATTACTCTGTTATCTGTGATTAGATCTGATTCTTCTCATTTGTCACAATTAATAAATTTGCAATGCCTATGGAAATTAGGGCCACTCTTATCGCGAAACTAATAAATGTCTATTATCTATGACGATTAGAAATGCTCTTTTGTCCTCTATTATCTGTGATTAGGCATTTTTCTTCTCTTTTATTTGCCACAAGAATTATGACAACTAAAAGATGAGATGGTGTGAACAAAAGTTTCTTACAGAAGAGTAAGCTTCTATAATTAGAAAAACAATAATATTTTTGGACACGCTTTAATCAAAACCAACGAATTTCGATTGTCGCCTAGATGAGATGAGTGAAACAGAAGTGCAACAGAACAAAAATGGAGGCTGCACAATTAAAATGAGGAATGACCGATAGAAAGAAACTTTTTCAAATTTTTTCGCCAAAATGATTGAATTGTTATTACCAACTTATTATTTTTTGGAATAGTTAACTCATTCTCATTATCTGTTACGATTAGGGGCACTCATGTGCCAAAACTAAGCACTCTATTGTCTGTAAAGGTCGTCTCTTTTGCAATAAGTAAGCAAGGTTTATTATCTATGACGATTCTAGATACTCTTTTGCCAAAACTAATCACTCTGTTTCCTGTGTCAAGTTATTTGACCAATTTACATTATCTATGAGGAAACCAATAAATTTCTATTACCTATGACTATTGGAAATACTCTTTTGTCCTCCATTACCTGTGATTAGGCATTTTTCTTCTCTTATCTATATATTATCTATGGCAAATAAAGGATGAGGTGGTGTGAACAAAAGAAGCTTCTTAGAGAAGAGTAAGCTTAGGGATATCGATATGGAAATTGACAGAGTAAGTCATTTATAATGAACGTTTACAAGAAGCAAATTTGAACCAAACAACGTGCAACTTTTGGTAGTGAAGCACCATCAGAGAAGATCTGTTTACAATCGGGTTTGCAAAAATACGGCTAGTTCATCAGTGATGAACATCAATGCTGTGAGCAACATGATAAAGAACATCGGCATGTGACTTACAGGCAGCTAGAAGCGTGGAATTAAAATCTCATTGCCCGTATTCATCCGATTTATCGCCTAATGACTTTTTCTTGGCCACTGTCAAACAAGAGATGCGCGGACAGCGATTTTCATCACCTCAAAAAGCTGTTGAGGACTTCCAAAATCATGTTTCTACGATATCAGCTTCAAAGTGGAAAATATTTCCAGAAATGCGAACTTGATAGTTTCTGTTTTACTTTTTGTAAAACGCAAACCTTTCCACATAGCATTGCATGCAAAGATAAGAGATACATAAAAAATTAGGCAGTAGAATATTTTATAAAAATTTCTTAAATGTCTTTTGTGATGTTAAGTCCTTTGTACTTATTTATAAGTACATTATAAATACTCAAATCATATCATTGGTACATTCTGAACTCGGTATTATCAAGCGAGCTCCCCTCGTATCATAAGAGATACATCGAAAATGAATGTTCAAGTAGAATATTTTCTAAAAATTTCTTAAATGTCTTTTGTGATATTAAGTCATTTGTACTTATTTATGAGTAGATTATAAAGACTCAAATTCATATTAACGCAAGCACTTGTATAGTGATTGGCGTTAATATATAGACACGAATGCCTTTCAACATTTTGTTGTTTTGTTTTGCAAATTCAATAAAATATTCATTATTCTTTTTACATTTGACTGTAATTTTTCTTGATTCACAATACCTATAATCTCTATAATAATAAATGGCTCAAAATGCACGCAACTTTCATTTTAAATACATTTTTCAAAGACATGAAAACCAGTTTATACTATATTATACACAAGACTTTACCATATCTTTTAGTATTTTGCTTAATATTGTCACCAGAAAAACTCGAGAACTTGGACTATAAATTATTGCATTTAAATTTCGCATTAATATTTGCTGTAGAAAAAAAATCCCAACTAGGAGCAGCAAAAAATAGCTTTTAGTTTTTTCACACGTCGTTTTATGTTTCTCAGAAATTAAAAAAGATTTTTTTTAGTATTCAGTACAGTACATTGATGAAATTTTAAACATGTTTGTAAAATTGAAAAAGGAACAACAAAAATTTAGAGGTATTATATTTCAGAAATTTTCATTAACAAAAGTTTTTCCCATGTGTGAAATGTTTACCGCAATGTTTTATAACTCAACGAACATATTCGTAAGTTTCAAAACACGTATTTCTCGAAACGGTTATTCGACAAGAGACAAGAAATGTAATTTCTCATTCAGTCTGCATTTATAATACTCTAGGGCACATTTCTGCATCACGTAAATAATTCGTAGCAAAACTTTCATCTTTTAATTCTGTTCCTATCTGGGTATTTTATCTCCAAAGGCCCGTGTAAAACATCATCATGATATAAGAGAGGCTAACTTGGTTTAAAGTTTTTTAACCAAAAAGCATCTGTATACTCACGGATACAAAAATTTTTGATGGTTTATGTGCTTTCTGGAAACAAGTTTCCAATTTTATTGCGAAATCTGTAAACGGCCGCGAAAATTTATTGGTTAAAAATAAAGAATGGAATCAACTGAATGCCATTAGTATAGAAGACAGATTTCTGAAAAAATGAAAGTAAAATAATTCATTGACAAAGGCCAATAAATCTCATTATTTTAAAATAATGAATATTAAATATACCATTTTGGTCACAGGGTTGTGAGAGAAATGCCAAAACCAATACCAAAAGAAAAATCAAATAATACGTTCCTGTCGTATTATGTGGCTAATTGATTTGTCATTTTGTGACATTTAAACCGACAAGAAAACTATTACCTCGCAAATTAATAATAACCAATTAAGAAACTGTATAAATTATACCGTAAAAAGCAAGACAAGATAATGAATAGTAAATCATCACATCAATCGTCATTTTGTGACAAGAGAAAACTTAACGTCACTCTTTCTGTCAAAAGGTTAACATGAGAACGTGAAAAACACTTATTGTTTAAACGATTAATTGTTATGACGTTTTGTCGAAATAATGAGTATTCATTGCGAAATTAGCAACCGAAGTAAATTAGTTAGATGTTTAATCTACGTTCAGTCGACTTTCACTAACAGAAACTGTAAAATAATATGAAAAACCGCAACCTACATCGATATCCGCCACAAAACAAATACAATCATGTACAGGGTGTTTAACTAATAATAAAATTACTGAGACATAACGGGATAGGTTATTTTTGTGACTGATGCGGCGGTCTAGTCACTTCTACTTTTCATTCTCCTCCGATGTTTTAAAAGTAAATGTAAAAATTTACACCGATTACCATGTGGGGGATCGAGCATATCTGTTTTGTGTCCCAAGCAAGCGATAAGCAACGCTATTGAAAGAGATCACCGGTAAAATATCAAATTGCGTCATACATATGGATTTGTCAGGTTTCTCAGATAAGTGGTTATTTAAGGCACAGACGATGTGGATAAGAAGTAGTTCTACAATTTGCGAGGTATTTTGACATTAATTAACGCACCCATTACAATCTCTATATTTTTTAAAGAGATCGATGGAATTCAGAATTTTAGGTTACGCATTACTATAGACGTAAAGTATGTTCATAGATATAAGAAAGTGACTAACTGATACGAATTAAGGAAAGACCCGGGCAAGCTGTAAGAATGAAATATGGCCGAACAGGTCCGTACTTTGCTTAGAATTTAATTATTTGGGGTTTTGTTAGGAAAGATACTAAACAATATTTATTTATTTATGTATGTATTTAAATCTAAAATAAAATTACAAACTATTTTTATTACCTACTTAAATTACTTAAAATTATTGCCATAATATATCAGTATCACTATCGTTATCATCGCCTGTTCTAATTATTATTTTTTTCTATATTATTTGCAATATACGATTGTTCTGCTTTATCTGAATGCTGAATCTTTAATATTTTTCGCAGACAGGGAATCCAACCCTCTTTAGAGACAGCATGCAAAATAGTTATTCTTTTACCTCTTTTTGATTGCGCGTTTGTTTTACACTTATCAGTTGAGTCATAGTATCATAAGTGTCGAACCAAGTTTCACCCAAATAAATAATTGACCTTTGTTGTTCTCTGTAAAACCTAACCAATTATTATTAAAAATATTTTTTTTAAATCATAAATGAAAGCTCTTTATCCAATTGTACTTTTTTTTCTAAATATTGATATATGGACTATTGTTTATAAAAAATTTAAATGGAGCTAAAACTTCTTTTTAGTTAATAAATGTCATTTGTTAAGATAAAAACGGTAAGTTAATGATAAATACAAAAAAAAACATCATTAAGGAATTTTCTTTTTTTGTTAAGATAAAAAAGTAATTATAAACAAAGTTAATTAAATTTATTTAAACTTTTATCACACTATCTTATTTGATGGGTATACAAGAAAGAAAAAATCTTATAGCAATTATTTAAATCTATTTTTTAAAGGAAGTCCCAGAAAAAGTTGTTAATTAACAATGGTCTATTTTATTGGAAAATTAATTTTAATAAAAAATTCCAACGGGAATTAGTTTTCTAAAACCTCTTTTTAGTAAATTTGCGAACATTAAAAAAAAAAAAGATTTATATGCATTTCCCAGCCCAGTCTCTTCCATGGAAACCAGTTTTGGTGCACCGCTGACGTAAATATCGAATTTACTCGTTTGGAAGGTAGATATTATAGAGATATAAATTATCGCGTACAAATTCAAATTTTAGACGAACTGCAATAAACTAACCCAAG